TTCAGCTAGACATGTTGTCATATGCTGGCTGACGGCAAAGGTCTTTGCTGTCCGCCATGGTAGACGACAAAGTGTCTGATTCCTGTAGTGTGTTCAACATGTTTCGCCAGGACAACAACAACCAAGAGTTCAAGTTCCTTCACGTGTTCTCCAGGATCGAGTCGTGCGAGAAGTGGAGGGAGTGTCGGCTCACTCTCGCAAATGCTAAGGAGACATACAAGCCGGACGCGCCTGCCCCGATGGCGGTAGAAGGGCGCCCTGATGGCAACAAAAGAGCCAAGGCGGCGAGGGATGCGGCACCCGCTGCCGAACGGCTGCAATCATCGATCGAGCAGTGCATCGCCGATGCCAAAAACAACGCCGCCAAGAGGGAGGAGAAATCCGATGCGAGGTGGTCGGCGTTGATGACGAAGTAGGACATCAAGCTCAACCTTCTCAGGACCAACGTCACCGCGAATAAAAGGAACACCGACCTGGCGTTCTTGATGGCGGCAGACATGCCGATGATGGACGAGCAGGTGAAGGCGTGGTCCCTGGCGGAGCGCGACCTCATCTTGAACCAGATGCCCAGACAGGCAGCGACCGCCGCCTCTACGCCCACGCCGCCGCCGCCGCCGATGCCCTGCCCGAGCACTAAAGCCACGCCGAGCCCGAGCATTGAAGCTGCGCCCATGCCCACGCCGCCCTAGGCCATTCCCACGACAGAGTAGCCTACCGTTTGATATGTTTCATGTCTATGTTTCATGTCTATGATTCCTTCCTTTTGATCGTCGAACTTTTAGATATGTTTGATCGCCGACCTGTGGCATGATGAACACCAAACATGTGGCATTTTTTGGCAGTGGGAAAGACAAATTCAAAATTTTGGGCTTCCGGGGCTGAAACCTGGGGGCGCAACTAAAAATTCAATTGCCCTCCAGGTGAAAACACCGCCGGCGTATATGCCAAAAGGCATTCGTCGGGTGTGCTGGGGACCAAACGACTGAAAATGCTCTTAGAAGTCGATGATCTAGTTTTCGCCGGCCAAAAAGAGAAGTCGTCGTTCATGGTGCCTTTAAGATAAAAAATATGCAGGCGTGCAGCCATGTACCTCTCAACTATACATCGCATTGTCGCCGGCCAGGATGGTGTTATTGTCGATTCCTTGCCGCTAGCTGGGTCCCTGATCTCGCGGCGCTGGTTCCGCCGCCAGTGAATAAAAATCTACTCCCTTCATTCCAAAATAGATGACTTAACTTTGTATTAACTTTGGTATAAAATTGAGTCATCTATTTTGGAATGGAGGGAGTACCTGTCAAGTTGGACAAGACCAGGATTCTAAAAAATCAAGCGAGACCAAGGAACACTACAAACTTCTTTTCTCACTAAATTCTTGGGTTATGGGTTGATTCATGAAACATCAAGGGGTTTTCTGCAAAAGAACATGACAAAAACCCTATCCCCTTTAGAGCATCTTCGACAGCGGCGTCAAAAGACGCACGTGCATGATAAACTCACATTTTAGCGCGCGTGGGACGTTTCCGCGTGCTCTAGCAGAGACGGGAAACTAGCGGACGCGGGAAACAATTGCGCGCACGGCAGAAAGCGGGAGCTCTCGCGCTAGATTTGGCGCACTGCATCCGACGCGCCTATAAATTGCAGCACCCTCTAGCGCTCTTTCGTCGCTCCCTCTACCGCTTTCTCTCCTCGCCGCCGAGACGCCACCACCGCGCCACCATGCCGCTGCGCCGTCGGGGAGCTTTGGGCTACCGCGGCGTCCGCGTGCGTGTGTCCGACACCTACTCTGCCGAGATTCGTTCCGATGACATGTGCCTCGGCCTCGGAACCTTCGACACCGCCCAGGAGGGCGCCCGCGCGTACGACGCTGCGGCATGGGGCCTCCGGCGGTCCCGTTTGGACATGAACTTTCCGAACGTGGCGACGCGGGAGCAGGCGCAGGAGTTGGCACCTCCCCCGTGGCTTATCACCGACGAGGATCATCGTGAGAACCGGAGGCGGGAGCACCGACCCAGCCAGGCTGAGATGGACGAGGAAGCCATGTCGTTGTGGCGCCAAACGCTTCCCGCAAGACGTCATCAATGAGCAACAGTTCCGTTGGGAATCGTAGCATGGAATTTCAAAAAAAAATCCTACGCTCATGCAAGATCTATCTAGGTGATGCATAGCAATGAGAGGGGGAGAGTGTGTCCACGTACCCTCGTAGAACGAAAGTGGACGCGTTTGACAACGTGGTTGATGTAGTCGAACTTCTTCTTGTTCCGACCGACCAAGCACCGAACATACGACACTTTCGAGTTCTACACACATTCAGCTCGATAACGTCTCTCGAACTCTTGATCCAGCAAAGTGTCGAGGGAGAGTTTTGTCAGCACGACAGCGTGATGATAGTGATGGTGAAGCAATTCGCGCAGGGCTTCGCATAAGCACCACGTGAATATGACCGGAGGCGTAAACTGTGGAAGGAGGCGCCGCACATGGCTAACAACTGTTGATGTGTGTTCTAGACGCCCCCTCCTCATACATACATACATACATATATATATATATATATATATATATATATATAGATAGGTGGGAGGGAGGGAGGAGCAGCCATAGGAGGCACCCAAGTAGGAAGAATCCTACTTGGAGTCCCTCCCAAGCCACGCGCGCCCCCTGCCATATATAACCGAGGGGGAAGGAAACAGGGGCGAGAGGGAAGGAAGTAGGCATCCTAATCCACACTTTCCTTGCCCTCCCCTCTTTCCTTATCCTCCTCATAGGGCTGGCCTCTGTAGGGGCGCACCAGGGCTGGCGTGTTCCCTCACTTGGCCCATAAGGCCCATATCTTTGCCGGGGGTGCCCGAAACTCTTTTCCGGTGACTCGATAAGTATCTGGTACCCTTCGAAACATTTCCGGTGTCCAAATACCATCATCCTATATATCAATCTTTACCTCTCGACCATTTCGAGACTCCTTGTCATGTCTGTGATCTCATCCGGGACTCCAAACAACATTCGGTCACCAAATCACATAACTCATATAATACTATATCGTCAAGGAGCGTTAAGCGTGCGGACCCTACAGATTCGAGAACTATGTAGACATGACCGAGACACCTCTCCGGTCAGTAACCAATAGCGGAACCTGGATGCTCATATTTTCTCCTACATGTCCTACGAAGATGATTATCGGTCGAACCGTAATGACAACATATGTTGTTCCCTTTGTCATCGGTATGTTACTTGCCCGAGATTTGATCGTCGGTATCTTCATACCTAGTTCAATCTCGTTACCGTCAAGTCTCTTTACTCATTTCGTAATACATCATCCCGTAACTAACTCATTAGTCACTTTGCTTGCAAGGATTATTATGATGTGCATTACCAAGAGGGCCCAGAGATACGTCTCCGATACTCGGAGTGACAAATCCTAATCTCGATCTATGCCAACCCAACAAACACCTTCCGAGATACCTGTAGAGCATCTTTATAATCACCCAGTTACGTTGTAACGTTTGATAGCACACAAGGTATTCCTCCGGTATCCGGGAGTTGCATAATCTCATAGTCGAAGGAATATGTATATGATATGAAGAAAGCTACAGCAATAAAACTGAACGATCAAAATGCTAAGCTAATGGATGGGTCTTGTCCATCACATCATTCTCCTAATGATGTGATCCCATTTATCAAATGACAACACATGTCTATGGTTAGGAAACTTTACCATCTTTGATTAACGAGCTAGTCTAGTAGAGGCTTACTAGGGACATGGTGTTTTGTCTATGTATCCACACATGTATCAAGTTTTTGGTTAATACAATTCTAGCATGAATAATAAACATTTATCATGATATAAGGAAATATAAATAATAACTTTATTATTGCCTCTAGGGCATATTTCCTTCAACTTCTTCGCCGAGAGGAGGGCGGAGAGGAGGGAGGAGTGAGCCGCCTATCGCGAGGACGTGCGAACGCGAAAAACGATCGCTAAATTCAACATCGCGCTAGGAGATGCATCGTCCTAGGACTCCAACACGAGCGGTTCCTTGACGCCCACATTCAAACGTCCGAGGAAGACATCACCGAGGCAGAGTCCGAGTCGGAGGATGACGAGTAATAGTAGTTTTTCGTTTTATCTACCTATCGTAGAAGAAGGCTATGAACTATCTATGCACTATTATGTATCGTAGGAGGAGGTTATGTGACAAACTATCTATCACATTTGTACCATCGGAGCCAAATGTGTATTGAATCGTAGTACAACAAAGAAGATATATAGCGTGCCTGCTGGAGCTAGCAGCTCAGGCGCGCTTTATTTTGCGGCGGCCGCTGGAGCCAGCGCACCGCTGTGCGCAAAAGCTGGTTCATCCGGCGCTGTATTCTGTTTTTTAGCGCGCCGCGCGTTGCACGTCTGTTGGAGATGCTCTTATTAGTAGGTACTAGCAAATATGTCAGTGCATTGCAAAGGGAGAAAAAGAATCAAATTATGCAGATTATGCCAGGATGAGATAAGAACTTTTAAAATGTCATTTTATAAACTGCATCTGAATCATATCATGATGAGATAAGGGACTGTTAAAAAGTCATTTCAAAAACTGAAAATGTTTCCTAAGGCGCCATAATGAAATATTTTTTGGCTGAGGAAACTACATTGGACCTGCCTGAGCTAGATTGATGAATGATGTGCCTTGCCTTGACCTTTCCATGACCAGCAAAACTACAATACCAGAATAAACATAATGTATAGAACACAAAAACCTTTTTTTACCCGATGCACGATGGACTAAATAAAATCATAAAACGATCTCTAAATATCCCCTAAAAGAACTGTATGTAAGCGACAATTCGTTTTGTTCGTTATTTACGGGTTTGTTTGAATTTTTATGAACATTTTCTAAAATTTCATGAACATTCTTTTTAATATTCCCGAATATGGTTTAAATACACGATCATTTAAAAAAACCATGAAAACGGCCTCTAACCAGGAGGTATCTTGCCAAGGTTTGCTTCTGCGCTTAATTCTTGCCTTGGCCACGCCTAGGATGCACAACAGTCCACCCATCAGCACCAGGGGTAGGCTTGGAAGGTTTTGGCTGATCTACTGCCATATCATCTGATCTAGCTGCTTTATCTTCCCCCATTGATGGCTCATCACCATCGTCCGAGCTATCATCATCCTCCTCGGTTACCATCTGCTCATGAGAAGAAAGAAAGTTAGCTACAGGGGCTTTCTGAGTCGAAGATACACTTAAAAATAAAATCAATCAATTTAAAGTTATGCAATGCAACGTTGTAATGACTGAGGACCACTTGAGAGAACTATATACACGTGGTTACTCAACATAAGTATGTCTCCAAATAACATCGACCAGTTCTAATTAGAAAACGAGGTTAAGATCCACATGCTAAGAGCAAAAACACAATCAATCTAGAATTTTGCAATTAACCCCGATGAAGCAACAATCAAGCATATAAAAACGACCACATCATGAAGAATTAATAATTGAACAAATTATCAAACAGATCTTGGAAGTGAACTGTGAGGCTGTGTTTGGATGTAGATATCAAGACCTGGAATTAGACACTGGCATTGTGCAGACCCAAATATCCCGAATTCTAGGTGTTTGGGTGGGCCTAGCTAATTAGCGTGTGTATTCGGGTTAAATATTGAGGTACTGAACTTTTGCCTCCGCAGCCCGTTCCCGAATCTCTTGGGTTAGAGCATCTCCACTCGCCCCCTCAAGTCATGCAATGGCTAGCCTCCGAATGTCTACATCCAAACGGAGCTTGAGAGAATACCATCGATTCTAGGTTGCAGCACTACTGAGCTCGTATGTGAGAAGATAAGCAACGCAAATTACGCATGCTAAAACTAAACTTGAAATACCTGTCTACTTTGGGAAACAACATTTCCTTGAGGACGTGTATTCCTTAATTTCTCAATCGATGAAAAGTTGTTTTCCAGGCATTCTTCATGCATCATAAAAAATTGTTCAGCAACCTGTTTGCCATAAAAACTTTGAATTAATACACATACATTGAACTGTTCACAAGCAAACCGAATACAGCTTTACATAAATGACAGAAGCAGTACATTCCGACTTGATTATGGTTAAGAAGCTTCAGGTTTTCTGCTGGATAAGCTAGAGATAAAAATGGGGAAGGTGGAAATGGGGAGGGTTGACCCATCGACCCGCTGATCATTTAAAATAGTGGAAGAAGGGCCACAATAGCGACCCTTAAATACAATAAGGGAACTGGGCCAAGCAGCCAAAACCCTAAAGGTTGGTCAGAGCAGGTCAACCCTTTCAGTTACACCAACAAGTACTTAATCAGATATTCATTACTTCGACATAGTTCAGGACCTATAGCTGCGCTAAAGATGGCACAAGGAAAATAATTACCTCCCTAATGCTACCATCCGCAAAGTTAGAATTGAGGGATTTATATATTCTGTCAAACATCATATCCTCCAAGTCCTCATAATAATATGGGCCTAAATAAAACCAATGCATATTAGATGCAGAAAGAGCATGCATAAAAAGAGTGAAACTAACAAAAAAAATCAAACCCACAAACATACAGCAGAAACACGTAAGCCATGCCAACATCACATTTTGCGCCTATGGTACAGATGAAATTACCCGACTTTCTAAAATAAAAGGAGAATGCAACATATATTGGAGTTCTCTTTCAATATAAACTGATTCTCACCTAAGATGAAGTGCAAAGAAAAATAGAATGCTGTGTGATCAAGCTATGTGCTTGAAAACTAAAAATCAACATAAGTAAATGATGAGCAAAATACAGAAGCTCAAATTTTGAAATACAGACTATTACGAAAAAAATTCCACACTAGACTTTTTACCTATTGGACAACATGGCTCCAATATATCGTACCTAATTGAATTGTTTCGTCCAATATTGTCCGACTTTGGAGTTGGTGAAACGCTGAACCCAAACTGGCACAGAACCAAGCAACGCAAACCCTCTATAGAACTATCCGAATTGAACAGCGCCTACAGATCGAAGGAGCCATTCCTATATATCAGCGAGTTCAGCCCCGAAACCCCGACAAGAGGGAGCATCGCGAGGCTCCGGATCCTGCACGGACTTCCGTCGTGTAGGAGATAATTACACGAGGATGTTGAAGGGAGGGGGGAGTGGATACCCTTGGAGTTGGTGAACCAGGAGAGGATGGACGCGGCGAGCTGGTCGGCCTTGGCGCGGGAGTCGGGGCCGCCCCACTCGTTCTCCACAGCCATCTGCAGCGCCGTCCACCGCCCGAACACCAGCCCGATACCCTCCTGGAGCGCTGCAGCCGCCTGGGGCGAGAGCGATCCGCCGCCGCTAGTGGATGCCGACATGGTGCTGCGAGAGTTCTAGGGAGGCGGCTAGGGTTTTGACCTTTTGGTGTTCTTTAGTAACAGAATTGATGGTGGTTATGGACAAGGAGAGAGCCGAAGAGGATCTTCCGGCCGGCGGTTGCTGGAGGGCCGCGTGGCGCGTGGCGGTGGCCGGCTAGGGTTAGGGACGGGAAAATATGTAGTGATATGGGGCATCACATGATACCCTTCTCCAGAATTGTTTGGTGCATTAGATCTACATGCAAGGGACATGATCAACTCACTAATCATTTTACACATGCCCCCTTGGGGGCAAAAACAACAAATTTAACCTGTAGATGAAAAGAATTCACAAACTAAACTATTGATGAAAAAATTTCACATAGTTGCTCCTTTTGTGTAGCGCCCGACAGCAAGGCGTCACACTATACTATGCAGCGCCTAACTGATATGCGCTAGACGCCTGACCAGTGTCGCATACCGAACTGTCTGAAAATTGCTAAGTCAGTGTGTAACGCCTGAGAGCTAGGCGCTACACCAGTGTAGCGCCTAGCGCCTAGGCGCTGCACTAGTTGCCAATCAAGCATATGCGTAGGGGTTGCATTATCTGGTGCGTTGGTTCGTAGCTTTGATTCTCGGAATATGTGATGGGCTAGTAGATTAAGCAGTACTATTACAAGCTAGTGCATGCATGGGTTTCTGGCTATTATCTATGGGCTACTGCTGATAGGTCCCTATCAAGAATCAACTTTTTCTTTAATTGGATCTTTTGTATCCGTGTGCTGTTGAAATACCTCGAATTGGCCACGAAAGATCCCTGAAGTTTTAACTCGCACTGCACACCTGACCCCACATGCGTCTTTGACTAGGCATAGCGCGACACCAACGCATATGCACTAGTGCAACGCTAGACGCTATACTATATAGTGCAGCGCCTAGCTTTCAGGCGTTGCACACTGACTTAGCAATTTTTAGGTAATTTGGTGTGCGACGCTGGTCAGGTGTGTAGTGTCTGTCAGTTAGGCGCTGCACAGTGTAGTGTGATGCCTAGCTGTTGGGTGCTACACAAAAAGGCCAGCTATGTAAAAAAAAATCATCAACAATTCAGTTTGTGAATTCTTTTCGTCGATAGGTTAAATTTGTCGTTTTTGCCCCCTGCTACCTAATGGCATTCCTAGCATCAAGAGATCTCTCGATCAGAAGCATTTCAACAATTTAAAGTGCACCATATGCTACCATCTCTGTCTAGGAATTAACATGACCTTAATATATATATATATTTACAAGTGTACTCTTTAGTTCACTAATTTACATAATTAAACCAAACAACTTTGGTACAAATCAGTTGACGAGCTCACATTCTCCTTGTATGCTATCCGGTGTTGGGCAGGACATGACTAATGGCGGCGGTGGGGAAAAAGTCGTATCGAAGAAGAGAGGCAAAGAGAATGGAGTGATATGCAAAATTCCCATGAGGTCTGAGCCCTCTCAATCATCTGCATCCTATCCAGATCCAACAGGCGCTTGGTGTTGGATTATGGGATCATACCACACCCCGCATCACCAGATATGCACTCGTCATTCATCGTCGACAGTGAGACATTCCATGCTCACCGAGCAGTGCTTGCTGCCCACTCACCGGCCTTCAGAGCAGAGCTCTTCAATTCAATGTCTAAGGCTACAATGTCATCCATCACGCTGCACGACATCACACCTGAAACATTCAAAGTTATGCTCTGGTTCATATACACGGATGAATTGCCCATGGAAGACGAGCATGAGGACTCTTCCACTGAGATGTTCCAAGACCTGTTTGCTGCGGCTGATCGTTATGCACTAGACCGACTAAAGGTTATTTGCGCCCAAAAGTTGTGAGAGAAAGTGTCAGTAGATATAGTTGCAACTATCTTAGCTTCTGCCGAAACCTACAACTGTCAGGAGTTAAAGAACAAGTGCATTGACTTCTTTGTAGTGGAGGAAAATTGCAAGAAGGCTATGTTCACGTATGGTTATGTGTTGATGGTTTTGAAATCCATAGAGATTATTGTTGAGCTAAAAAACAGGATTTAGGAGATAACATAGTGAGATACATCTCCATGTGTATAGTTCAGGTGTTCAAGCATAGTTCTAGCATGCTGTTTTGGGGTATGGTGGCTGATATTTGGCATCATAAATGTAGAGCTAGTTTGGTACGTGCCTGGAAATCCCGTGCCTGGCCTATGCCTGGACCGCACCTAGTATAAGGTAAAACCATAGAAGTCCAACTGCAATGGTAATGCGAGCACAAACGAGTAGCAAGGATGGAGCGTTTGGGGTATGCGCGATATCACAAACAGTTGTCTGAAGACTCATGTTTCGGATACATGCTGGCGCATACATTTTGTTATAAAAAAAGTATGCATTGCTACTCCATATCCCCGACAGTTTTTGGGTCGTCTGGGAAGGACCTTCTATCGCCGACACACACTAGGCGACAGTTTAAAATGCCGTCACGGAAAAGGGGTTAAAAACCATTTGTATAGCAACTCGTTGTACCAGTGTAAAGGCAATAATATTTGCATTGTTATATTTCCATGTTCATAGTTAAGAGTTTATATTCCATGCTATAACTGCTATGATCCTGGAATATGCGATTCAATGGAAAACTCATATGCACGTGTGAAATGATAAACGGTTAACAATAGGTTCCCGGTCTCACCTCTAAGATTGGCTCAAGTGTTGTTGGTAATCACGTTTTCCGGATCTTAGGACATCATTAAGTGTAACGATGGTCCTAAAACAACATTGAGGGTATGGCGTTAGAAGAAAGATCATATTGAATCGACCCAATACTCGTCTGTTATACTTTGTGATCATATCGTCTAAAATCATCTATTATAAGTGTTAGCATGTGTTTTAGTTCCTCAGACCATGAAAGTCTCGTCACTTACTATGAGACGGTGGACTTTGGGGTTGCTCAAACATCATCTGTAACAAGGTGATCATAACGACAACTTTCAGGTTCACCGAAAAGTTTGACAAGTGTCAGGATAGCTCGAGAGTGGGATTTTCTCCTTAGACAATGGAGATATATTCTTAAGGCCCTCTTGGTGTGACGACATCCACCATTCGCTGGCAGACACAGGTGGCTATGTCACGGGGATGCCGGAACACGTCAACGAGAAAGAAGAAAAAACTGGTAAGGTAATCATGAAGGAAATATGCCCTAGAGGCAATAATAAAGTTCTTATTTATATTTACTTATATCATCATAAATGTTTATTATTCATGCTAGAATTGTATTAAGCGGAAACTTGATACCTTTGTGAATACATAGACAAAACAAAGCGTCCCTAGTATGCCTCTACTTGACTAGCTCATTAATCAAAGATGGTTAAGTTTCCTGACCATAGACATGTGTTGTCATTAATCAAAGATGGTTAAGACGTTCGACTACATCAACCACATTAAGTTAACGCTTCCACTTTCGGTCTATGAGGGTACGTGGACACACTCTCCCCCTCTAGTTGTTATGCATCTCCTAGATAGATCTTGCATGATCATAGGATTTTTTTTTGAAATTGCATGCTACGTTCCCCAACAAATCACGATCGCTATAGTGAGCATGGTTATGACTCAGGAGGATACCAATGCACACCGGGTTTTGTAAAGTATCACGAAGCAAAGGGAACATCACATGATAACCAAAGGTTCACTCGAATATAATTCATGTAAACGTAGGGACCAATATGAATGTCCACGGTTCCCCTATCGGTCATTGAACGAAGGGGTTTCATTCATGTTTATGATTTATGGAACCTACGGGGTCACAAGCTTAAGGTAATCATGATCTGCTGAGTGTTAGTGGTACGAGATTAATGAGAATATATTTATGAAATTGTTTCATTAATATGCGGAATAGTTTCGAGAGGTTCCGGAAGTGTTTCGGGGTCACCGGAAGGGTTTCGGTGAATACGGGTAATACTGGGTATTACCGATAAATGTATATAGGTGGAAATTTTTTCCGGAGATGTTAAATTATATATATAATGGTCTAAAAATATTTAGAAAATTTTATAATTAATTTAAATATCAATGGGCCTAAAAAGGCCAAGAGGTGGAAGGCAACTTGGCCACAAGGGCCCAAGTAGGAGCCCCCCCCCCCCGTTTCCTTGTAGGGGCGAATTGGACTTGGGGAGGAGTCCTCCCCTGTGGTCAGTGCCCCAAGGGGGACTTTCCCCCCTTGGTGACTGCCCTCTCCCTCCCCTCCAACCTATATATACCAGGGGATTTTGCTCTATATATACTAGATCATTGATGGCGCGCGTTGCTGCACCCATCTATTTTTCCAATAAGATGATAGGAATTTCTATAAATCATGGACTCTTGAAAAATAAAGTTTAATTTTTGTACACTCATACATATGTGTTGGACAGTTATCAAATAGATCAATAATCCACATCATGTGTGCCTTAGAAAATAATACATGAACAATTTGTAAACCCCACATAAAAATTATAAATCAACATACATAAACATACAAAACTACAACCTACCAAACGACATCACCTCCGGTAGTTACTATCCAATTCATAGAAGTGAAGTGCTCTCTTTTTTCAAGGCCATAGAAAGTTAATGTAATATTTCATTGAAAAACGGAAGGAGTACTATCTCAGAGCACCTTCAAGTGGTCGCTCGCCCTTCGCCAATGATCAGAAGACGGTGTGAGCCAGTCTCCGGTCAAGTGTAGTACCTGCAAGGAGATCTGCATAGCACATACCATGGAATTTTTTATGGAAGGAAAAGAGTAGAGCAAACTAACACATCTAAGCTTTTTGTTTGACAACAAAAAAAGCCATCTTACAGAAAAACCACAACGGTGTAGTATATTAGATATCAACGGTAAAAAACATTTAATAAGTTTGAACTGAACTTTGGGTGCATTTGCACAATTCTTATTAAGACTCCTACATTAACTTGTACGCTTGGTAATGTTTTTAAATTTTAAATAGAAATGGCAGGTTATACATCACAAGTCAAAA